AACAGCAGACTTTCCCATCGCAATATGGCTTTTAATTACCTAGCTACTGGTGCCAAGAGTGTTGACTGTAGTGGATAATGCATCAAAAACAAAAATAGGCTTTCAACAGGTTTTGCTCATTTTTTCCTCTTGAGAGAGAAGACAGAAACTTAAAAGACATATTTTTCTTTGACTGTTTGTAGATTGCAGTGGAAGAATTGAACAAATTAAGGGGTTTTTTTTTTTAGTATTTGGTATACAACTAGTCATTCTTTTTTACCACATGATTGAAATTCATCATTTGTCCATTAAGGAAGAAGCTACTGCTTTGCAATTTAGAACTTCTCTTCTACAATTTTGGAAACTAATGAAAAAATTCAAGAGAAATTAAAAACTTTCATATTACTGAATAGCCTGGAGAAGATGTCATTTGGAACATTTTATCTGTTACCTTGTGTTTCTTAAATGGAGTTTTATTGATTTTGTCAGTATACCTAAAACCCATAATTTTTTTTCTTTTCACTTTAATTTAGAAACTGCTCCCATAGGAATCAAAAAGAGAACTTGCATGCAGTTCACAAAGATTTCATAGCTGGGGAAGAGACCTACTTTTTAAAAATTATTGGAATAGCATCGTTTATTCTAGAATGTGAGGTTACTATTGAAAGCCATATTCATAATAGTGTAATAGTGTTTTTCTGTATTCTTTGTTCTTGGGTGATATTTTATATACTTGTGATAAAATCCAAAGGCTATCACAAAATTAGTACAAAAGCATATTCATAATACTATGAAAATTATCTTTTTGCTCTTTTTTTCGCCTCCAATCTAGAATATGAGCTAATATTTGGATTATCAGTTGCTTTGCTTTTATTCTAAAAAGAAGTAAGATATTTCCCAGCTTAGAACAAACTTTGTTATGATTAAAAATCTCCAAGTTTAAGAAATAAGCATTTTAAATAAATGCTTAAATTAAATATAGCAAACCTTACTATTTCTTGTTTTTTTTTAGTTTTTTTTCTTTTCAGTTTACCATCAATCCAGATTTAATACTATACCATTTATTGCTGAGAAACCGCAGTGATGA